ACTCACCATGAGGTGAGCAAGCGGCCAAACAACAAAAGGCTGATCTTGACCTATTTCCATGAGGGTTGTCGTTGTAAAAGACAGCTTTGGATTTTCGGCCAATGATAATTGCAACTCAAAATACTCATATTGCGCTAACTCTACAAGATAAGGGTGTTTTTGCAAAATTGGCAATTGGTTTCTAGCCCCTTGCATATATTCGATCAGTTCGTGTGCAATTTCATGAAAATACGGCGTATGCGAAGCATGTTCTTGATAAAATGAAGAAATCAGCTTACCCCATTCGCGCTGCCCCAAACAGGCGGCGCAAACGGGGAAATTTTGCGACAATAAGCTATTGATATTACTTTGCAATAACTCCTGATAAACACCATACCGGCGTTTATCAATACCTTGAAAAGCCGGCAAAGAGCTGTCACGCAATGGTGCTGTAAACTCCTTTTGCATTTGTGACAAAGTTTTCATGCGGCAACCGACGTCTGTTGGTGGTGACGCACAGCTTGGTGTGCTCGAATATCGCTCACTTCACTTAACAGCTCTTCCAATGGCGGGTAATTAAAGTCGCGCTCAAGTAAAGTTGGCTTCACGCCATGGCATTGATAAGTATAATCAAGCAATGACCACACCGAATCACAGACCTTCGCCCCATGGGTATCAATAAGTAAGTCGTTTGATTCCTGATAATGCCCAGCCATATGTAAATAAACAATTCTTTCAGCCGGCATCGCTTTGATAAAAGCATGCGGATCCGTACCATGATTGATATGATTCACATACACATTATTGACGTCCAACATGAGTAAACAGTCACTTTTCGCTAAAACAGCTAGCATAAACTCTTGCTCAGTCATTTGAGCAAACGGTGCGCCATAATAGGAAACATTTTCTATAGCAATTTGCTTACCGAGGATATTTTGCACCTGTTGAATGCGTTCACTGACATGGTGTACGGCCTCTTCCGTAAATGGAATTGGCAACAAATCATAAAGGTGTCCACGATCATCGGTGCAATAACTCAAATGTTCACTGTAAACCTCAATTTGATGTTGTTGCATGAGTTGTGCAACCTGTTTCACCAGTTCGACATCGATGGGTAATATCCCGCCTAGCGATAACGACAACCCATGTGCCACGAAAGGATATTGCTCTGTGTACTGTGCAAGTATGCGGCCATAATAGCCTCCAACACCAATCCAGTTTTCAGGCGCCAATTCAAAAAAGTCAACTTTTAACTCTCCTGCCAACTTAGCTTGATTCATAGGCTCAATCAAGCCACGTCGAAAGCCTAAACCAGCCATCGCTTGGTGCTGAAAAAGCAGGTTTTGCATCGTAAGAACACCATTTATTAAGCATACAAAAATGGCGCTGTTAAGCACCACCACCCTCATCATTGATGTTTAGTGCGAACTCACACTACTTCCCACTGAACACATCATCCAAGTACTATCAATGATCATTTATTTTTGAGATTTCTTAACTTTAGTGGCTATTTTTTTTGCTGCTGCTTTGGTTACTGTTCCAGATTTAGCACTGCCACATTTGCCTTCAGCATGACCTTTACCACACTTACCTTCGGCATGTGTCTTCATTGACCCGCCGCATTTACCCTCACCGCACTTACCCTCGGCTGATGTTTTGTCTGACTTTGTGCCGCCACATTTGCCTTCGCCACACTTTCCTTCAGTTTTAATCTTTTCAGACTTTGCCCCACCGCATTTACCTTCACCGCACTTCCCCTCGGCT